AACCCATTTAAACTTCAAGAAACTTTGGAGTTTCAATTTAACTTTGAATTCTTGAGAGGTTTTTTGAATACTCTCTCAGGGACTGAGTCTGATGTAAACTGTTGGAGAATGAAGGGAGAATCGACCATACTTTATGCATCGAAACTCGACTTTATTGATCAATCGATCACCTTATATAACAATACTAACGAACTTCATGAATATTCTGTAATCCAATTTCATGATATGCTAACAGAGAAAACTCTAACCACACCTTTTGTTTTAGAATACCTACAATTGTTTATCATAAGCAGAAACCAAAACAGAAACCAGAAACTAAAACAGAAACTAGTGTTCCCAAAACCTCTACATCTGTTCTCAGGATAACAGGCCTTCCCAAGGACGGTGTTCTGCTTGCCATGGGAAGACAAGCTGAGAACTTTATTGTTTATAGAATGATGCCTGAGAGAGTCTAATTGTTTACACTAATCAGAAGGCTGAGAGCTGTTAGAAACTGCTTTTACTTTTACCTCTTACTTTTCTCTCAATTGTATGTCTCATGGCCTTTTTCTTTAAGCCATTCTTGAACCAACCTCTCCACAGTAAACAACACCAAAACCCCGAGAGGGTCATTAAAATCCCTGTGCTGTGTCTGTGCTGCTGAGCTGGGCTGGGCTCCTGGCACAGAGGCAGCTCCTTGAAAACCAAAAAGAGCTTCAAAAAGACATTTCTGCTGAGGACCAGCTCCTCTCCCAGCCCAGCCAGGCTGGGGCACTGCCTGCAGCCACCCCGGGCACAGCACAGAGGCACAGAGAGCTTCAATCAGTCTGGGCTGGGAAGGTGCTGAGAAGTGCCTGGGGCAGAATCACTGCCAGCCCTTGGCACAGGAACCTCTGGCTGCAGGACAATGCAGCTGCAGCTCCTGGAGCCATCTCCTAAAGCTGGAACATCCCAATGCCTTCAGACTCTCTGAGTAAAACTCTGAATATTTCTGGTGCAGGGGTGGGAGAAATGCTCATGAAGCTTTGACATGCTGAGGAATGCTGGTCAGTCATAAAATATTTCCAATGCAAGGATTTCCTTAAAAATTAGGACATTTCCAAAGACTTTGTATTCAGTTTCCTAGTACTGAAGAATGGCAGGGAGCGGGGGGATTAATAATAAAGATTGATTATGGATTAATAATTATGAAATTTAAAAAGTTCCTGAGACATTGGAACTGTTATTTTAGTGTTCCGTAGATTCACAGGAGATCCCTAATGTATTTTCAGCAACTCTGCCCATGGACAGCACCAGCATCCCCTTTGCTGGACCCATCAGGCTCAGTCTGAGCTGTCCTTTTTCCCACCTGCAAACAGAACCTGTCCCAGCCAGTGCCCTGCAAACAGGCAGGGTCCTGTAGGGCCAAGGAGAGGGCACAGAGATTTGAGGGGTCTGTGAGTGCTGGCAGGGAGAGATCAGGCACAGGGAAACAGCTGCAGGAGGGAAATCTCCAGGAAGCAGAGAGAAGATTGGGCAATGAGAGAAAACAAAACCCAGCAATGCTGTGGCAGGGAGAGCTTAGAGATGCCCACAGGATCCCCTCCAGTGCAGCCCCTCCCTCTGAACAAGCCCCCTCCCTCCTGTGCCCCAGCCCAGCCTCTGCCCTCAGGGCCGGGGCTCCAAGGCGTGCAGCCCCTCCTGTGCAGGCAGAGCTGCAGCAGAGCCATGGGGCAGCTCTGCAGCCCCGGGCCCAGTTCCCCCTGCAGAGCACAGGGCTGGGAGCAGCTGCCCGGCCCTGGGGGCTCTGGAGGGGACACAGCTGGCTCAGGGTGACGCTGTCCCCAGTGCCCGGCTCTGGGCAATGCTGTCAGGGCAGCCAGGGAAGGAGCTGCATCTCCCTTCATCCAATGCCATTAGAAGGACACTTGGAAGTCTCTGAGATTTCAGTCTCCAAGCTGGGAGCTTCAATCCAGGGTGCAAACCTGTCCTAGAGCATCTCTGAGTTATAAGATTGATGGGGAGAGGCAGAGGTCTTGTGACACTGAAAATGCTGCTGGGTTGGTTAAATGAGCAACATGAGTCCTTGGCTACAAATGTGGAGCTGGGCTGTGGTGGATCCATCTCTTCTCAGCAGAACCTCGTGACATTTTAGGGAAAACATGGGAAGATGATCACTCTCCAAGTGAGAAAGGTTAAAGCCCAGAGAAATTCTGAATAGGTCAGAATGAGAGACAATCTGCCCTCACTCTCCTCTCATTATTTTGTCTCACAGAACTTGCTCTGTTCTCCCTGAGTGCAGAAACAATGTAGAGGGTTTCTGATATCCAAGAATACCAGGAGACAAATCGGGAGAGCTCAAAAAGAAAATCTGAGAACTCTTAAATACAGAAGCCTGTTAATTAATAATTAAAATAATCCATGTGTGTTACAGAGGAGGGTGTATAGGAAATGGCTTTGATTTTGGTTACAAATTTCTCCTCTAACACTTTACTCTGCTTTTCTCCATGAAGAGATCCCCATATCTAGCCACGGCAAATGTCCAACAGCAGCTCCATCAGGCACTTCCTCCTGCTGGCATTGGCAGACACGCGGCAGCTGCAGCTCCTGCACTTCTGCCTCTTGCTGGGCATCTCCCTGGCTGCCCTCCTGGGCAACGGCCTCATCATCAGCGCCGTAGCCTGCGGCCACCACCTGCACACACCCATGTTCTTCTTCCTGCTCAACCTGGCCCTCAGCGACCTGGGCATGATCTGCACCACTGTCCCCAAAGCCATGCACAATTCCCTCTGGGACACCAGGAACATCTCCTACTCAGGATGTGCTGTTCAGCTCTTTCTGTTTGTCTTTTTCATTTCAGCAGAGTTTTCCCTGCTGACCGTCATGCGCTATGACCGCTACGTGTCCATCTGCAAACCCCTGCACTACGGGACCCTCCTGGGCAGCAGAGCTTGTGCCCACATGGCAGCAGCTGCCTGGGCCAGCGCCTTTCTCAATGCTCTGCTGCACACAGCCAATATATTTTCCCTGCCCCTGTGCCATGGCAATGCCCTGGGCCAGTTCTTCTGTGAAATCCCACAGCTCCTCAAGCTCTCCTGCTCCAAATCCTACCTCAGGGAACTTGGGCTTCTTGTGTTTTCCATTTTTTTTAGCTTTTGTCTGTTTTGTGTTCATTGTTTTCTCCTATGTGCAGATCTTCAGGGCTGTGCTGAGGATCCCCTCTGAGCAGGTACGGCACAGAGCCTTTTCCACCTGCCTCCCTCACCTGGCTGTGGTTTCCCATTTCTTCAGCACTGGCTTTTTTGCTTACCTGAAGCCCCCCTCCATCTCTTTGCCATCCCTGGATCTGGCCCTGTCAGTTCTGTACTCGGTGTTGCCTCCAGCCCTGAACCCCCTCATCTACAGCCTGAGGAACCAGGAGCTCAAGGCTGCAGTGTGGACACTGATGACTGAATGGTTTCAGAAACATTGAACTGCTGGCCAGTTTCTGTAAATCACTTATAATAAAAGTCATTTTTGATAGTAGTTTTTTTTTCTTGTGGGGTTTTTTTACTTTTGTTTCAGTCCATTAATCTTGTCCACACAATAGGACCATTGTTTATGTCACTTCTTCTTTTTTGTTTCTCTCCATCATTGCTGTGGCCCCAAAGTGTGTCAATGAAGAGCTGTTCTCTCAGTGGGTTTCAATGAACTAAAGGATCTCCCAGCAAACTTTTCACAGGAGATCCCCCTTTTTTCCCCTTCTCTGGAGCAGCTGCAGCAATGTCTATGTGCAGAGTAGGGGCAGGTTAGGGGCAGCACAGCAGCTCTGTTCCTGCTGGCCACACCATTCCTGATCCAGGCCAGGAGCCATTGGCCTTCTTTCCCACCTGGGCACACTGCTGGCTCATGTCCAGCCTGCTGTCCATCAGTGCCCCAGGTCCCTTTCTGCCTGGCCGCTGTCCAGCCACTCTGTCCCCAGCCTGTAGCACTGCAGGGGTTGTTGTGGCCAAAGTGCAGGACCTGGGACTTGGTCTTGTTCAACCTCACCTTGTTGGATTTGGGCCCTGGATCCAGCCTGTCCAGGGCCCTGTGCAGAGCTTTTCTACCCTCCAGCAGAACAACACTTGCAGCTATTTTGGTCGCCCCAGTTCTATGAGGCCCTAAAGTGTCACAAAGGCCCCTTTTTCCCATGAGACCTCTTGGTGTCAAAAAGTCCTTTGGATCCTTGAGCTCTTCAGTGTCATAATGGATCCATGGTTCCATGAGCTCTCGCAGTGCAGCCATGCTCTCCTTGGTTCCACAGTGTCGCGATGGCCTCTTGGGTCCCAAGGGGCCATCACGGTGTCCCTCTAAGGGACTCATTGGCCCCTTGGTTCCATGGGGCCCCGCAGTTTCACAATGGCCCCATAATTGCACGAGGTCCTGCAGTGTCACAATGGCCTCCATGGTTCCACAAGGTCACGCAGTGTCACAGTGGTCCCTTGGCTCCATGAGGGCCCAGAGTGCCCCAATGGATTCCCTGGTGGTGCAGTGTCACAATGGACCCCTGCTTACACAAGATCCTGCAGTGTCATGAGGGACACTTGGTTCCATGGGGCACCAGAGTGTCACAATTGTTCCCTTATGTGATGGTTTTGCATTAATTGACATTTGGTGAGGAGGGAAGAAGCCACCCATAGAAATGATTATTCTGAGAAGAGCTGCTGAGAGCTTCCTCTGTGCCTGAAAGCAGCAATCAGTGACCGGTTTTGAATACTGACACCTTGTTAAACCACTAGAAAGCTGAACATGCCTCTATGAACACACATGTTAAAAATGAACAAACCCCAGGAAGAGCTCTCTTTTCTTTCCAGCCTGGGAACAGGTAACAAGGCCGGCCTGTTTCCCGTCTCAGCCAGGCACCAGGCAGGATGGGCATTGCCAAAGTTCTGGGCCCTTTCTCAGGGACCCTGCCCAGCCCTGTCCCAGCAGAGCCGGGCACCAGCAGCTGCCAGGCAGGGGGAGGGGAGGCCATCAGCCCGTGGTGTGTTCCGGCTGAGATCTCAGCCATTTCCCCCCAGTGTGGCCCTGCACGAGATCATGTGGCTGAGACCAGAGGCGGCCTTGTAGCCCACACAGAGAGTGGCCCTGTGCCTGGAATTGAACGCAGCAGGGGCCAGAGACCGGCCATGGGGCTGATCCTGACACAGCCGCCAGGGCAGCCTGAAAAATCCATCACCACAATTGCTTCAGCTGCGACACGGCAGGAATCACATGAGCATCTGCAGGCCCCGGGTGAGATATTAACTGTTTCAGTGCATAGATGAGGCTTACAGACCTGCAGTCCTGCCTCAGGTGAGAGAAAAGGACAGACTGAAGACATGTAGAGAACAACATGAGACATGAAAGTCAGTTAGAAGAAGTCAAGTCCCAGATGGGAGTGTTGAGTAGATGCCTCAGTCCTGGGATGAAATCTTCTTGTAAGGCTATGGAGAAAATATAACTGATACATCAGACTCTTTTTTTCCTGTAACTTATTGAAAGTATGGGGGGATGGAAGTGTTCAAATTGTAGATATGAGCAAAGGCATTTCTGCTGAAGCAAGCAGATGTTGAAGTACCTGTCATCCTTAGACAGAGTAGAAATTCTCCAGAGTAGAAATCCATTTTGATTTAGCTGAAATGTACATCTTTGAGTTAGATCTGTAGTTTGAAAACATAGCTATTTAGCCTGACTGCAAAAAGCCTAGGCTCAGAGAAACTGCTTCAGTGAAGGGCAGACATAAGGCGAGGGGAGAGAGAGGGTGATAAAGAGAGACAGAGACTGCTGTGTGAGCAGTTCAACCTGACATAGGAATTCTTTCATATAAAGAAGAACTAGTGGGAAATGACACACGAAATCCATAAAAATGAATATGCATGAACCTATTGTGAAATTGTATGCATATATATTTGAGAGGGGAATAAAAAGGGACCTGAAGTCTCTAGAAGTACTTGTGTCTTTTAAGGAGAGTAATCTCCAGATGTGTCCAGGCTGTAATAAACATACCGGCTTTACAACTTTCACAAAGTTGTGGAGTTTTGTTTATCTCCGCAAAACAATCCCATGAGAAGTTTGAACAGAGAGAGAGTGTGATGAAGATCCTTTGCCCCCAGGAAAAGAAGAACACCTCTGTTCATCTTAGATGAAGATTATCTCAGAAATAGATAAAGAAATCTTTTGCTCTTGAACAGTTCATCCTTAAATTAATAGACCATAAGGTGACGTAGCTCACAAACACAGCTGTGGGAAGGCTGCTAAAAGATGGGAGGGATTCACAATTGCAGATTCCAGGGTAGCTGCTGTTCATGGAAATTAAAAGCCAAGAGAGAACTGTTTTCTTGTGGAGAAGTCTCCATAAAATGACATGAGGAACTCCTCTCCCTAAGTGAACTGAAGAGGGGCTAATCTAGAGGTGATAAACTGACTGAATTGTTTCTGTACATTGTTAGTGGGAAAGAAAAGGTTGTAGGAGGGAGGAGAAGTGTTCTAAAAGTTTTATTCTGATAGTTACTATTTTTATTTTAGTTACTATTAATAAAGTTTTCTTTAGGCCCTTTTAAAGTCTAAGCCTGTTTTCCCTTCCTCCTAATCCTATCTCACAGCAGAAAATGAGTAAAGTATATTTTAGTGGGTACAGTGGCATTTAGCCAGCACTGAATCCACCACACCTTAGTTCCACGAGTCCCTGCAGTGTCACAATGGCCCCTTGGTTCCATGGGGCCCCAGGGTCTTACAAGAGTCTCTTCGGTTCTGTAGTGTCACAATGGCCCCTCAGTTCAACAAGGCCCTGCAGTGTCACAGTGGCCTCCATGGTTTCACCAGGACCCAGAGTGTCGCACTGCACTCCTTGCTTGCATTCAGCCCCACAGTGTCACAGTGGGGCCTTGGTTCTACAGTGCCTTCAGCACACAGTGTCACTGTGATCCTCTTAGTTCCACGAGGCCCTGCAGTGTCACAATGGCCCCTTGCTTCCCCAGGGCCCTGCAGTGTCACAATCATCACAGAATCACAGAATTAACCAGGTTGGAAAAGGCCTTGGAGATCAGCAACTCCAACCTGTGACCCAACACCACCTTGTCACCCAGACCATTGCACCGAGTGCCACATCCAGTCTTTGCTTAAACACCTCCAGGGACAGTGACTCCACCATCTCCCTGGGCAGCCTCTTCCAATGCCCAATAGACCTTTCCGTGAAGAATATTTCCTCATTTCCAGCTCAAGTGTCCCATGGTGCACGTTAATGCTGTACCCTCCTGTCCTGTCACTGTTCCCTGTGAGAAGAGCCCGACCCCCCTGGCTGCACCCTCCTGTCAGGGAGTTGCAGAGAGTGATGAGGTCTCTCCTGAGCCTCCTTTTCTCCAGGATAAACAACCCCAGCACCCTCAGCCTCTCCTCACAGGACTTGTGTTCCAGACCCCTCCCCAGCCTTGTTGCCCTTCTCTGGACATGCTCCAGCCCCTCCATGGCCTTCCTAATTTGGGGGCTGTCGGAGAAAGGAGACCCAGACACCAGTTGGTTCATCCAAGTCCAATTTATTGATCGAATACGGCGGATTAAATATAGTTCTTAATAAGCTTCATACATATTGCAAAAGTTGAGCTCAGGATTGGTTAGTTACATATCAGCAACTACACCTACTTCTACATTCTTGTGCTTATTCTTCTGTTACATTCTGCAGATATTCAGGACTAAACTCACCTCCCTTTCCTCATGTTGCAGCAAGGCCATCCGGCATTCTTGCCTGTCAGCAGTCACTGAATCAGAGACTGCTGACCTCCCTCTTTCAGCTTAACCAGTGGCATTATGTCAGTATGGCCTTTCTCAGCTAACCAACTCTTAATAAAATCCTCCAAATTTCCCCCGTTTTCTTCTTGAGCAAGAAGACTAGTCTGCATTTTTGCTATCATACGACTGACCATGTTTTGAATACAATTAAAGACACAAGGCAAAATAAGCAAAAACAGTAAAACTACACCCAGTAGTCCTATAGCATAGATCACAAGGTTCCTCAGCCATGGCCCAAGTCCTAAGTTTTTAAGCCATTCATCAATTCCTAAACCTTCTTCTTCCTTGAGATTGTGAAGTTCTTGTTGCAGTTCTTTTATCTTAGTGTGAATGGACACCGAATGATCAGACAAATTCATACAACACATTCCCTCAAATTCTTCACATCCATGCCCTTGTGCTAAGAGCAAAAAATCTACAGCAGCTCTATTTTGCAAAACAGCATGGTTAACACTCTGCACATCTGCGGTTAACATGTCTAGAATTTGGGATGTTTTGTTCAGCTCATTTTTTGCCCAGCACCCTAATTGCTTTGCTAAATTTATAGCCTTATTGGCAGATCCTCCTGGTAAAATAGTTGAAACTACTACTTGCCTGAATGTACCCCAAAACTTTGGATCTCCTATCTGGCTGCAGTCCAAGTCATGTATACTACGCTTTTTCCTGTTTGATGTTTGACTGAGCTGCATTAGCAAGGATACATTAGGGTGAAACAAGGACAATTTTCCCAAATAACAGGGTCCACCCTGTGGCTTAGCTGGTACACCATTCCATGCCCTGTCTCCACAAATTAAAAATATTCCTGTAGGTAATTTCATTGGTGCCGTGATGTTTGTGCCGTTACATTGACTAATGCTGTGGAGAGAATTCACTCAAATTCAGGGATGAATCTAAGGTGGCCCATGTGTCTTTAGGTTGATTTAAATTTTGAACATCCAAGGGTTTGAAACTAAACTATCCTCCAGCTGTAGTGTTAGGCATACTGGCATTTGCACTTCCAAAAAGATCCAATTCCTCAGGAGGAGAATGCAAGGAAGTGTTAAGTGATTGGATTAGTAAGCATTGGTGATAGCCATCACTGACCTGCAGTATACCCTTGTTGCACTGGCAATGTGATGTTTGACATGTTAGACATACATAAAGTTCGATTATTTATCAAACCGCAAAATTCTCCTGGAGACCACATCGGAAGTCCTACCAGGCATGTTCGAAATGGGTTAGTGACTCCTCCAAGACTAAGACAAAGCGACGATTGCTTAATTTGATTAGCAAGTGTTACCCATAGATTTTCTCTTGGCTGACTGAAATGTGTTATTCCTACTGCTTTAATCGCTACAGCGTTAAGCAGTATAATAAAAACAAACTTCATTTTTCTTTCCTTTTTGCCTGTTTTTTCTTCCTCCGCTGTCTTTTACCTGATTTGTTAGGCTGATTAAAATGGACCTGAGTCAGTCTTTGAATACACTGATCTAACTCCAAATCAGCATCCTTGCTCACAGGTATAGCATATGGCAAGTTTAAAGGCAAATCAGCTTTACAGCGAGCTGCTATAATGCGTGAGGCACTAGTAACTTCAAGCTCTCTAAGTGCTTGCTGCAACTTCCATCTAATATATGCTATAACCACTTGTTCTGCACTCTCAAAAAGCTCCAATCCTGCCCTTCCTGGCAGGCCAGTACTTTGTTCAAGAGCTCTAACCCAGACAAAATCTTGAATCCACTTCCCGAAACAAGGTCCACACCATAAATTTGCTATTGTCTTTTGTGAGTACCAATAAATCTTATTACAACCTGCACAAAGCAAAGCTATCCGTGCATAGCACTTATCAGCATCCATTTTGCAAACATAACAAGGAAGTGTATATAGGAAAGGATCAGTATTAAAGTTTGTCTGTGTGATCCAATCCAACCAGTTCAATGGTGGTGATTGCAAAGCCTCTTCAGCTTTCTTACTATATACAGCTACCAATTCAAGCTCCTTCTTTAATACAAAATGTATCTTATCTCGTAATCGCTGTTCTTGTTCTTCAACACCTATAGCATGCCACGAAGTAGGGTCCCATGGAGCTACAGCATCCCACAAGGCAGGGTCCCATAGATGTGAAATTGCCCTAATCATAGAAAACTAATTAGCAATCACTAATAGCCTTATTTAGATGAGGTCGTTCCCTATCTTACCTTCTTTTTCTTATCTGTTTTCAGTTTTGCTGCTCCTAACTTTACTGGTACTGTTACTTGCAAACTTAATTTTTGCAACTTTTCAATGCAGCAGTCTAGTGCTCTTTCAGGATTCCCTCTGAAGGG